GGCGGCGGCGATGGGCGGGGGGAGGGGAAGCAGAGGTTCGGGAGGGAGGGGGCCCGCAAAACGAGTGGGAAGGCCGGGCCCCGTGGGCCCCACGCGGGGTACGGGCCTGTGCACAACAGCCAGGTGGAGGAGGGGAGGAGTGTCATTCTACCAAAAATGAGAGTGTTTGGGTTTCTCTGTGAATTTGAGGACAGGAACAGGCACTGAAGTGAGATTCGAAAAGAGTGTGTGGCTTTCTGAAAACCCTTGTGCTCCAGGAATAATTATGCTACAATACAGTTTGTTAGTCTTAAAGGTGCTACTGAGATTTTTAGTATTTTGTATGTTATAGCAGTGATATGAGAACCAATTGAGCTGTGGGTCCATCCCAAATGGTTCTGGGCATTAAAGCACACTTGCCCTGTGGTGATGGAAAATGCTAGCAAGTCATAGCCAACTCATGGTAACCCTGTAGGGTTTTCAAGGCAAGAGACATTCAAGGATGATTTGCCATTGCCCGACTCTGCATCATGTCCCTGGTATTTCTTGGAGGTCTCCCATCCAAATACTAGTCAGAGCTGACCCTGCTTAGCTTCCAAAATCTAATGAGATCAGGCTAACCTGAGCCATCTGGGTCCATGGCATGGTGCTGTGTGGGTGCCTCCCAGGCAATCATCTTCAACCTATCCTTGGGAGCCACAATCATTAGGAAAGAGCCATGTGATAGAAGTGTAATGATAATTTACTCATAGTCCAGTCTTTTATGACAAGGAATTTATACATGCTACTGTAGGACAACTCAGTCACTGAGGGGAACTGTGGGTTGTCTGCCCTCTCCTCTTGTATCTGGGTCTGAATTCTTGAGGTTGAAATCTCCTTCCTGACCTTAATTCCCTGTCCTCTCCTAAAAAATTCTCATTTCTCTTCAATATACAATGGTTTGGGTTGAATTTTTACCCGTTCTAACCCAACCGCTCAGCAATTTCATGGAGTGCCCACGAGTTCTTGTATTGTGAGAAAGGGAGAAAAGTACCTCTTTTTCTACCTGTTCTTTCCCATGCATAATCTTATAAACCTCAATCATGTCACCCCTCAGTCGTCGTTTCTCCAAGCTAAAGAGCCCTAAGCGCTTTAACCTTTCCTCACAGGGAAAGTGTTCCAACCCTTTTATCATTCGAGTTGCCCTTTTCTGCACTTTTTCCAAAGCTATAATATCCCTTTTAAGGTGTGGTGACCAGAACTGCACACAGTATTCCAAATGAGGCCTCACCATTGATTTATATAGGGGCATTATGATATTGGCTGATCTGTTTACAATACCCTTCCTAATAATCCCCAGCATAGCATTGGCCTTCTTTATTGCAGTCACACACTGTCTCGACATTTTCAGTGAGTTATCTACTACAACTCCAAGATCTCTCTCTTGATCAGTCTCTGCCAGTTCAGACCCCATCAATGTGTATTTATATTTAGGATTTTTGGCTCCAATGTGCATCACCTTGCACTTGGCCACATTGAAAGCCATGTTGACGCCCACTCGCCCATCTTTGACAGATCCCTTTGGAGTGCCTCACAATCCTCACTGGTTTTCACCACCCTGAACAACTTCATATCATCCGCAAATTTAGCCACTTCACTGCCTACTCCCAACTCCAAATCATTAATGAACAAGTTAAACAGCAGTGGACCAAGTACTGATCCCTGCGGTACCCCACTGCTTACCTCCCTCCACTGAGAAAATTTCCCATTTATACTCACTCTCTGTTTTCTATTAATTAGCCAGTTTGAGCCTTTGATGAGGAACTTTATCAAAAGTTTTCTGGAAGTCAAGGTAAACAATATCTATTGGATCCCCCTTGTCCACATGTTTGTTCACTCACCCCCTCAAAAAACATTAACAGGCTAGTGAGACAAGATCTTCCCTTACAGAACCCATGCTGAGTCTGCCTCAATAGGTTTTGTTCATCTATGTGCCTACTAATTCTTTCCTTAATAATGGTTTCCACCAATTTACCCGGTATCGACGTCAGACTGACTGGCCTGTAATTTCCTGGATCTCCACTGGAACCCTTTTTAAAGATGGGAGTGACATTAGCTACCTTCCAGTCCTCAGGAATGGAGGCAGATTTTAAGGAAAGATTACATATTTTTGTCAGGAGATCCACAAGTTTACATTTGAGTTCTTTTAGAACTCTCAGATGTATGCCATCTGGGCCTGGTGATTTATCAGTTTTTAAGTTGTCTATCAGTTTTAGGACCTCCTCTCTCGTCACCTCAATCTGGCTCAGGACTTCCAACACCCCTCCCAAAATCAGCTGTTCTGGAGTGGGCAAGCACTTCTCATCTTCCACAGTGAACTGCTATGAATATATCCATTTTAAATTAATTTTAAACCTAAAGAAGATAATCCACTAACAACAAACAGCTTGTGGCTCTGCTTTCTTTAAATCATAGTTCTCTAGCTTCCTTTTTCCCCCACTCCTTATTTATTTTGTTTATTTTTTTTAAAAAAACTTTTTATTAGGATATATCAATAAGTCAAATAAAATAAGTAAAAAAACAATAAGTAAAAAAACAATTTTTATTAGGATATATCAATAAGTCAAATTATACATCACCTTATACACTGTCATATATCCTTTTCTCCTAATTACCCACCCCTTCTGACTTCCCACAGTGCTCCAACCTCCAGCCCAAATCTTGTGCTTCCCTCTTTTCCCACTTG